TAGGCGTGTGTGTGGTGTGTGTGCGTCTAGGGGTGTGTGTGTGTGTGTGTCTAGGCGTGTGTGTGGTGTGTGTGCGTCTAGGGGTGTGTGTGTGTGTGTGTCTAGGCGTGTGTGTGGTGTGTGTGCGTCTAGGGGTGTAGGCGTGTGTGTGGTGTGTGTGCATCTAGGGGTGTGTGCGTGTGTGTGTGTCTAGGGTGTGTGTGTGTGTGGTGTGTGTGTGTCTGTGGTGTGCGTGGAGAGACAGAGACAGAACCCGGGAGCTGGCGCCCACGGTGTGTCTGCAGAGCTTCGGAAACTGGCCATGTCCTCTCCTGTCGTCACTGCCGGGCCTCGGGGCGCTAGGGGGCGGGGAGAATTCCTTCCCCCTCTGGTGGGCTATCTTGATTCCCACTTCCATGCGTGGCGGCTCTGTCGGGGGCCTTCTCCCTGGCAGAGGCTGGTGGGTGTGATAAGATGTTTGCTGTTCCCATGTCGATCCATCTGGAACACTTTCTGGAACGATGGGCCAGACTGGGGCCAGGGAGCCACGCAGGGATCTTGGCTCTCAGGACGCCCCACGTCGCAGCAGTGACGGCTTCGTGGTAGGACTTCGAGGATACAAACATGCCCACGTGGCCGGCTACAAAGTGCAGGCTCTGTGATCACGCTTGAGCTTCCTGTGAGCGGGACAGGTATGAGTGTGCCCTGCTCAAAGAGGAGACCGAGGCGCTTGGAGGGGGAAGTTATTTTTAGCCCAAATAAGAGGTGTTGCTCTAAAGCTCCAGAGACACCCCAGATCCCAGGCAGACTCAAGCTGGTTTTCACCCAAGACACCCAAGTTTGGCGTCCAGAGTCATCAGGTAGCAACGAATCTCAAAGGAACAGACGGAAACATGCAACACCCTTGACAAACTGGAATCAGAGGAGCAGAAATACTTCCTCAAATATCCGCTGGGCTCGTCCCTCCAGCTCTGTCGCTAAAACGGAAACCCAACCAGTTTCACATCCTCAATAACAGAGGGTCCCCCTCCAAGGACCTGGGGGCCTCCTTCCGGCCAGGGAGCAGCTGCAAGGCCAGCGGGTGACTCTGTGGGCCGGAGGGGCACCCCCTGCCCACGGTGGATCCCCATGGGGAGGTGGTCACCTCCTTCCTGTGTGACACAGCCCAGGGACCCCTGCAGAAGACACCCTGGCACACGGTGACGCTTCCCCCGGAAGGCGCCAAGTCTGGTGTCAAGGCCAATCCCATTCTGGAGGGGATTCGTGTAAAGTCAGGGTCAGGACCCTTTCGAGAAGGACCCCACTGAGTTGAGAGAGAGCATGGCAGCCCCTGACCTCGGGCCCCGCCGGGCACACACCGCGGGGCTGGGCCTTCCCCCGTCCAACACAGACAGGGTCACCGGCGGCAGACCAGGCCTCTGCGACAGAGCTGAGAGCCAGCAGTTATCACATCTGAACACAGACCAGCTGGCGACGACCTTGATGACCACGCACCGTCCAGCTGAGCACGCGGGGGCGGCTCCTTCACCATCACGGCTCAGGCCCCAAGCCCCCTCCTTCCAGACCAGGTCACGGACCCGCCCAATCACCGCGTGGCCCCACTTCCTGACAACAAGGCATCCGGCTTCTTCCATCCTCCCCAAATCCCCTCCCCAGGCCCACCCTCGGCCAGGCCTTCCCAGCACCTCTGGGACCCCCACCCGACCCTGGGCCTCCGTGGTGCGTGGTCCCCCCGCTTCATGAGGACCAGCCCAGGCTGTCCAGCCACAGCTGTGCCCATGGCAGCATCCTTGGTCCTAAAGAGACAGGGGTGGCCCTGGGGGATGAGCAGTCTCTGTGTGGCAGTTGCTGTCCACTCAGCAGGACCAACCGGAGGAGAGACCCACGTCCCCCGAGCTCAGCTCCAAGGAGGGCGGCCAGGTGCGCCCACCCGGCTTACGCGGTAAGGGTAAGGCTGGGTCAGGGCTCCGGCCACTGCAGCTCAGCCCCTGCTCATCCCGATTCCATTAGATGTGAAAACACCTCACAAGCCCCAGCCTGCTACAACGATCACCACGCACTGCTGTCTCCACCACGGAGCGAGGCCCAGGGGCCGGCCCAGCCTCTCCCAGCCTCTCCCGGCTGCGCGTGGCCCACTGTTGCCTCATCTCCACAACCGGGGCCAGCGAGGCCCAGGGGCCGGCCCAGCCTCTCCCGGCTGCGCGTGGCCCACTGTTGCCTCATCTCCACAACCGGGGTCAGCGAGGCCCAGGGGCCGGCCCAGCCTCTCCCAGCCTCTCCTGGCTGCGCGTGGCCCACTGTTGCCTCATCTTCACAAACGGGGCCAGCGAGGCCCAGGGGCCGGCCCAGCCACTCCCAACCTCTCCCGGCTGCGCGTGGCCCATTGTTGCTTCATCTCCACAACCGGGGCCAGCGAGGCCCAGGGGCTTTGGCAGCCCATCGAGCTCAGACTTGCCCGTTGCAGGCACTAAGTGCACCAGCCCAGGGGTTTTAATAGCCTGTGCTCATAGCCCACTGGCCTTCGCATGATGTTATAATTAGGTCGTTAATCTCTGACAGTACCGGGCTGGGCAGATGGTTTGTTCCAAAACCCTCCCTGGCTCCACACTGGGACACAGCACCTTTCTCATCATTTGCAGGTCACAGATTGCGGCCCCGGTGCTCAGCCCTGTCAACGGCCCAGCAGTACCTGCCTGTGGAGGCGCGGGAGGGGCCGTGCCGGCAGCAGAGCCACAAGCCAAGGTGACCGCAGTGGTGACGGCAGCTCCCACTTAGTCTCCACCGTGTATCAAGTCCGATGTGGGCAACTTCCAAGCACGGGCCCGTAAACCGCGCTGACAGCAAGCCCACCAGATAGGTGCCCCAGAGTCGAGGGCAGCGAGGTGCAAAGCAATCTAGAGTTGGGATTCAGGCGGACATCCCTGGGCAGCCCAGGCCCTCCGCTGACCACGGCATTTCTGCAGGCAGAGGGAGGACCCCGTGTTGGGACGTGAAGGATGCTTCAGAGCAGGGCTGGGTCAGCAGGGCCGGGGCTGCCAAGAGGGCAAGCCGTGAGGACAGAGCACAGGCAGGCGTGAGGACAGACCCCTCCTGGGGGCCAGTTGAGGGAATCACGGGAGGTGAGGAACTGGACAGCCAGTGCACGTAATAATGCTTTCTGGAATTTTCTGGTGACTCAAGGGCAGAGAATTGGGGCAGCAGCTAAGGGGGCATGTGGACGAGAACGAGCTAATAGACGTGGAGAGACAGAAGGTACAGGAGGGAGAGGAGGGAATGCCCAGCGGCAAGTCCTCAAGGCGTGAGTGGGACAGAGACCAAGCATGAGCTGAGGGGCCAGGTTGGGTGGGAGTGGGGACCACTGACCCTGGGGAACTGGAGGGTTTAGAAGCACGTGGGGTGGGAGCTTCTCTTCCAGCTGCTCTGTGTTCTCAGGGAAGTTACAGGTAAGGTCATCCCTGAAAGGGAGAAGAGGGAAAGGGGCCAGGGAAACAGGAGAAGGTGTGAAATTTTTAAAAAGTAATTATTTTTGGTTGCGTTGGGTCTTCGTTGCTGCACGCGGGCTTTCTCTAGTCACAGCGAGTGGCATGGTCTCTAGGCGCATAGGCTTCAGTAGTTGTGGCACGTGGGCTCAGTAGTTGTGGCGCACGGGCTCGGTTGCTCCGCAGCATGTGGGATCTTCCCGGACCAGGGCTCGAACCCGTGTCCCCCACATTGGCAGGCGGATTCTTAACCACTGCGCCACCAGGGAAGTCCCAAAGG